AGAACATAGCTGTTGATAAATATGTTATTTTGGGCAGGGCTGTGGAAATTGTAGTGAACCACTGATTGTGGTTGCTGATTTTGTTGTTGCTGATTTTGTTGATTTTGTTGTTGTTGAGCATTATTATTATTATTATTATTTGGGTTGTTGTAAGGATTGGTTCTTCTGATAGTGTGTTGCCTTCTTTTCATTTTTTTTTTTTAATAATAATAATAATAAAGATGATTGATTTGATGTTTTAGTTTTTTTAGTCATGATCATCATCACATGATTTTAATTTATAAGATTGAGTTTGTATAACTAAAAATTGATTGGATTAAAATTCAACACGTACAAAGTTGTATATATTAAACAAATTCTACGTGTCATGATTCAACTTTAAATAGTGATAATGGGGAATTGGCATCTACATCAACATGATGGCCATTTAATATTTTATATTTTTATTAGATGTGATGCTGAATATTTTGCATCTGGAGTAGTTTTTGATATTTGAAACTACACAAATCATTTCTCTAAAAGATGTAACCGAATGCCTGTATTAGAGAAATCCTGACTGTCATAGATGGTTGTGTGCAGCATGGTGCAATAGATAAAAATTATTATCCTTGTGATATTGCACCTTGGGTTGTAAAGACTAAATCTCCTCACAAGCTAGCTTACGAAGTTATTGGCTTGCAAGCTGGCTCATGTAGAGCCTTAGTAAAAACCCTGAGATGGTTACTGATTCTCCGACGTTGGAGGCAACAGGGAATAAATGCGCTGTCTGCAGACCCGGTTAAAAAGGAGAAAATTTATTAGATTCAATACTTAAATTTAATACATTGGATCTATTGTAATGTTTATTTTTTTGCATGGTCTTGGTATTATTATTACCTGGGTGATGCAATTTATAATTATATTTAAAATAAATAAATTAACTTCACAAGTATATAGCATAGTAGAAGTTTGATATTGATCAACATTCGCAATTATCACATTGTATCACAATCAACATTTTATTGTGTTACATACGTTTCGTTGTATTGAATAAAGAAA